ATTAGAAATACAATCTGCTTTATATCAAGGTAATGATAATGGTAAAACTACTTTTATCATTTCTGTTAAAATTAAAAAGAATTTTAATAATATGAATAATTTGAATAAGACTAGTCTATCTAGTATTGCTAATAATAATATGAATAATATGAATAATATGAATATGAATAATAATAATAATGAAATGATTGAAGAAGAAGAATATGAAGAATATTATTTACCTGAAAATTATAGTGATAGATGTAAATTATTTGAATCATTTAATAGATTTACATTATCATGGATTAGTAAATCAATGACAGTTGCACCTAATGTAACACAAACAGCACTTCAACATTATTTAATTAAATTCCAACAATCAGATGTTTCATCATTAAGACATTTTGGTTATACATTTGCTGTTTATTTATCAACACCTATTGAACATTTACAAGCAGTTGGAAGTAATATTTTATTAAAAAGTGATAAGAGAGGTTTTTCAATTCTATCACAAGATCAAGTTTCATTAACTCAATCCATTTCTGTAATGTCTTTTAGTTCTGGTCAAGCTAATTCTTTAAAATTAATGTTAGGTAAACGTTCTGCTGAATCAATGATTATTAATCAATTATCTAATTTAATGAAATTATATAATAATAATAATATGAATATGAATAATACTAGTAATAATATGAATATGAATAATACTAGTAATAATGTTAAATTTTATGAACAATTATCAGATACAATGAAATTAGCAACAGCATTTGTATTAAGTGAAAATACATTAATAATATCATTATTACAATGGATAGTATGGTTACCTGTTTATATATTTACAAAAGAATCAATGGATATTGCTATTTATTGTTGGAATTGGATTGCATCTGTTAAATCTAATGATTTTAATATTCCATTATTATCTGAAATTTCAAATGCATGGCAATTTACTATTCAAAAAGGATATGGTTTATTTAGTGGTCATCATGAAAAAGATGAAGCTGTTGAATTAGCTGTTCAATCTAATAATCAATCTAATACTACTACTAATACTAGTACTAATAATAATACTACTAATAATAATACTAGTAATAATCAAACCAATCAATTCAATCAAACCAATCAAACATTTAATAATGTATCAGAATTTAAAGTATATTTAAATTCTAATTCTAATAATATAGAAAATAAGAAAGATACCTATCCACATCGTATTTGGATCAATTATTTATCAGAGAGATATCAAAGTGGTGGATTATTAAATGAAGCTATTGTTGATATTTATTTAAAAATGTTATTAAGATCAGTTGAAAATATTAATAGATTAAGTAAATCACATTCATCATTAGGTACAAGATTTAGATTATCAAATTTATCATTACAAGTATCTAGAAGTGTAATTGATTTACAATTTTATGATTATATTCCAAATGCAACTATATTACAACATCGTACATTTGCTGCTTTATTAAATTGGTTTACATTACATCCAACTTGGTATAATCCAGGTTCTAATCATATTGTACAAGATGATTTGAAAGTATTAGCAGATGTTAAAAAGAGAATTAAAAGAGAACAATCTGAATTGAATCGTTATCAATCTATTAATATTAATGATTCTCAAATTGGTTTAACAAATAATACTTCATCTAATGCAATTTTAGATTCAGATAATATTAGTATTAGTGGTATGAGTGTTAGAACTAGTTCACGTTCTGTTGGTTTTTCTATTAAAGCCATTTCATCAAGTCAATTATTATCTTCTACTAATACTGATAATCAAGATTTTGATACAAGTATTTCACTTCATCCTCATACTACTGGTACTACTAATACTACTGGAGCTAGTACTACTACGTGGTGGTGGTGGTGGTGGTGGTGGCAGTGCTACTAATGGTACTACTACTAATAATTCTAATAATACTTCTAATAATAATAATAGAACAAGTAGATCTGATACACGTACAATTGTCTATTCAACATCAGGAGTAGATGCAATATTAGATGTATTATTATTATTAATATCACATGAATATGATAGAATGATAATTTGGAATGAACCACAAAAATTAATATTAACAGAAGATTATACAAAAATATCTTTAAATAAGTGGAAGATATTTATATCAACAGCATGGAGTTTTTCACCTAAATTAGCAATTAAAATGCATGTTAGATTTCCATTTGATATTATTAGAGATGAATTAGAAAAATTAGTTAAAAAATATCCACTTGATTCTATTCATATACCAGAAGCAACAGAATATTTAATTAATGAATTAAATTGTAAAATGAATAGTAATGAATTGAATCATTTATTAATATGGTCAACATGTACATTATCAATGTCATTAAGATATTTAAACAAACCATTTATATCAAATTTAAATGTACAACAATATGCTATTAGAACATTACGTAAATTTTCACCTGAAGCTATTGTTTTTTATTTACCACAAATTGTACAATGTCTGAGACATGATTATAATCATTTATTGAAAAGATTTATTATTTCTATTGTTAAAAATTCAGTCATGTTTACACATCAATTAATTTGGACTTTAAGAACTGAAATTGTTGAATCTAATCATTTAACATTAGAAGAATTACAAGAAATTAAATTACAAGAATTTGAATTGAGTGATATTTTAAAACCATTCTATATTGATGTTATTAAAGCATTTGATTCTAATCAAATTAGATTATATAAAGAGGAATTTCACTTTTTTGATAAAATTACTAAAATATCAGGTTTATTAGTACCTGTTGAAAAAGATAAAAGACAAGAACGTTTAATTGAATATATGAAAGATATTAAACCATCATTTAATTTATACACTCCTACCAATACTCAATTCAGTATTACTGGTATGGATTATTTAGCTTCTAAAACTTTAAAATCTGCTAAAAAAGTTCCAATTTTAATTCCATTCTATGTTAAACAGAGACCATTAGGTTTTGATATTGGTGAGGATGTTAATATGAATCAAAATAATATGAATGGTAATATGAATAATATGAATGGTAATATGAATGGTAATAATATGAATAATACTACTCAAAATAATCAAAATAATATAAAATTACCATGTATATTTAAAGCAGGAGATGATTGTAGACATGATCAATTAGCATTACAAATAATATCCATGTTTCAAAGAGTTTATGAAAGAATTGAATTACCACTCTATTTATTCCCATATAGAGTAATTACAACAGGTAGAGGATTAGGTATTATTGAATGTGTACCTAATAGTAAATCTAGACATCAAATTGGTGATTCTATTAATGCAGGTGATAATTTATATAATTATTTTATTAGAAAGTATGGTAATGTACATACTGTTGAATTCCAAAGAGCTAGAATGAATTTTATACATTCAATGGCTGCTTATTCAATTGTATCATTTATTCTATCTATAAAAGATAGACATAATGGTAATATCATGTTAGATGAAGATGGACATGTTATTCATATTGATTTTGGTTTTATATTTGATATATTGCCGGGTGGTAAATTTGGTATTGAACAAGTTGTACCTTTCAAATTAACAACTGAAATGTTAGCTTTAATGGGTGAAGAACAAGCAATTGAAGAATCTAGAAAGAAAGATCCATCTCAATTACCAGGTAATTCATCATCATCATCTTCAAGAGGTAATAATGGTGGTATGAGTAGTGTGAGTGGTATGAGTAGTTCAATTACCAATAATACTATTGCATCAACATCTAATAATATTACTAGTACTAGTGGTGGTGGTAAATCTAAAGTATCTATTAAAGATACAAATTTAGATTCTAAATCTAATCCATCAAATGTAAATGTCAATTCAGAATTAGATTCAGATACTAATGAACATTCAGAACCCTATAATTTATTTGTTGATTTAATGATTAGAGGATATTTAGCAGCACGTGATCATATGGATTCAATTATTGCTATTAGTGAAGTGATGGTACAATCTGGATTACCATGTTTTGCTAAGGAAGATTCAATTGAACGTTTAAAACAACGTTTATGTGCTGGTAAATCAGAGAGAGAAGCTATTTTATTTATCAAACAAAAAATTAAGGCTTCCTATCAAAATGTTTTCTCTGTCATTTATGATGTTTATCAAGAAAAAGTTGAAGGTGTTAATAGATAAACTTTTTATTTCTTACCTTTATTATTTCTTACTTTTTATTCCTTCATTTTGGTCAGTCAGTTAGGAAAATGAATGTATACAATGAAAAATG